CATAATATCCATAAATCAAAACAAAGCCAGCAGGGTTTAATGTGTTGATCATTTTCTACACTTAAGGTTTGACTCAGTTTAACTATTGTTGGTAGCAGAAATCTGCAGGACAGTAACAAAACTTTGAAGTTTTAATGAAAGTTTACAATTCATGCAACATTTTCTTTAATCTCTTGTGTCTCTTGTGGACTAGAAATAAATGCTGAAAAATATATTTCATGTTTGTCAGATTGTGTCATCAGACAAGCAGGTGCAGTGAGTTCACCTGCTCTATAATCCTGGTATAAATCTACAGTGGCTTTATAGAGAGACTTTGCAAACGTACTGTTAACATGTGAGTTTGAAACAAGCTTCATCACTTTCAGAGCTTCTCTGGTGAGAAGCAAGTTGTCTTTAGGAAAACAAATCAAAGCACCTCGTTTTAAACTGCTGGGATCTGTTTTATTCCAGAAAACCGACACAAACATTTCATATGAATATGTAGATTTCAAACCCAAATGTTGACAAAAACATGACAGTGAGAGAATTTTTTCAAGAAATGAGTTTTCACTTTTACAGAGTTGTAAGGTAACTACGTACAAATACTTTGTTACTGTATTTAAGTAGAATTTTTGGGTATCTGTACTTTGAGTAATTATTTTTCAGCCTACTTTTTACTTCTACTTCTTACATTTTCACACAATTATCTGTACTTTCTACTCCTTACATTTTTAAAAGTTAGTTAGTTAGTTAGTATGTATGTTTGTTTGTTAGTTTGTTTGTATGTATGTTTTTGTTTATATGTTTGTTTGTATGTTTTTGTTTGTATGTTTGTTTGTATGTATGTTTGTTTGTATGTTTGTTTGTATGTATGTATGAATGTTTGTATTTTTGTTTGTTTGTTTGTTTGTTTGTTTATATGTTTATTGTGTGTGTCTGGCTCTCACCAGGACTCTGTGCCACCTCGGGACTGTCGGGTCCAGGTATGGGGACCCTGCGAGTGGGAGTTGGGGGGTCAGCCTGTGTTTTCCTCATGGCCACAGAGGAGGGTTTTGGTGAGACGGGTGGCTTCAGAGACCTCCTGGCCTCCATCCACTCGCAGCTCTCCCTGGTGGTCTCTGTCCTCTCTGCGGCGTCGGACACCGGCCTCCGCCTCAGCACCACGCCGCCATTCGGCTGCTGCTCGCTCTTGGACTTCCGGCTGCCGTCCGGAGAGTCAGACCGATTATTGCTTTGGGTGACGCACTCTGTCTGCTCGGAGGCGCGCGGCCTCCTGCGCACAGTGTCGGAGCTGGTTGTCATGGTCACGACGGTCGTAGCCACGGACTCGGGTGCCTCGGAGTCCACGAGCGGAGGCCGCGGCTTCCTCCTGAGCGTCGYCGTGCCGTCTGTGACCTCGGGTGCTGAGGACGCCACGTTGGATCGGGGTCGTGGTTCTGGACGTTGCTGCGCCGGCTGGCGAGGCGACGGTTCACAGAGATTGCCGGGGAGGCTTTCAAGTCCACTGATGGTCCTGCGCCTACTCAGTACATCCTCCTCCTCGGACCCTAGACCTCCTGAACCTGCCTGGCGACGGAGCAGAGGTGGACTCACCTGTAAGTAAAAAGCTCTTCATGAACATCTCTTTTTATGAGGACCCAAACTTTAGGTTTGACCACACCCACCTGCAGGTAGCTGGGACCACTTCCCAGAGTCCTCTGCACCATGGACGTCTCCAGCATGGCCGCCAGGCTGCGCACGCTCCCAGAACCACCTTCTGATCTCTCCAGGCCAGAGTCCAGAGCCCTTAAAGCTGCTCCCAGGGCACCACAGTCGCTGGCTCGCCGCTCTCGGTAGGTCGGTAACCCCAGCAGCCCCTCCCCATCCCCGTCACCTCCGGTGATGGAGGAACAGGAGCGCTTCGGAGGCGTCGGGGGCCGGCCTTTCCGACGGGGACGGAGAGTGACGGACGACTGGCTGTGGTTGAGCGTGATGTCGTTGGAGGCGGCAGCGTGCGTGGAGTTGCTGCGGCACACGGTGGCATATTTCGAATCCGACTCGGAGCCGATGAGGCTGTAGGTCCTCCGGCGCTCCTCCTCCCCACAGGGCAGCCGCAGGAGAGGGACGGAGGCGTCCGCCCGAGGCCGGGCGCGAGGGGAGGCCTGCTGGGTGCGGGCGTGCGGAGGAGTCTGCGGAGGTGTCTGGGTGGGCGTGTGGGGAGGGGTCTGTGAGGGCGCGAGGCCCGGTCGAGGTTTGGCCAGTGGGCCGAGGGCGCTGTCCCGCTGCCTCCTCGCCTCTCTGTGTGGCTCTGAGGAGGTGCTCCCACCTGGGCTAGGTGGAGGCGATAAGGAGCTCTGAGGAGGCTCAGCCCCACTGTCCCCTCTCTGCAGCTCCTTCAGTCTCTTTACGCCCAGCATCAACTTCTTCTGGTGTCCTGACACAAAACGGGTGAGAAGGAGAATAATTCATAAATAATTAATAAAGGAGATCTTGTATTTACATGCATTCTCACAACCGCACACAAACAGGTGTTTACATCCTGGGTTTTCTGGTCGGACACTGATGGAATGGTATCTGCATATGTGTATGTATAGATATATACAGTATGTATGTGTATGTATGTGTGTGTGTGTATGTGTGTGTGTGTGTGTGTGTGTGTGTGTGTGTGTGTGTGTGTGTGTGTGTGTGTGTGTGTGTGTGTGTGTGTGTGTGTGTGTGTGTGTGTGTGTGTGTGTGTGTGTGTGTGTGTGTGTGTTTGTAGGTATGGGTATGTATATGCAACGATACAGAAAATTCACGATTTGGTTCGGTTCAATACTTTAGTTTCACGGTCCGATATTTTTTTGATACAAAAAAGAGACATTTCCATGCCCCTTTTAACCTGTCATTTATTTAAATTAATTCCGAACATTTGTTTAACCTCAAAAGTACACTTTTTAAATTAAATATTGCTGAAACAGCAAGTTTCTCAGTGGATCTGCACTCGACAAGGCAGCCTAGGTGGAGTAGTCGAGCACAGATCCACTGATCCTTCAACACAGAGCATCTTCAGAAGACAAGTCATGCTCGCCCCTTGATCTCCAATGGCTGTCCCAATTTGTTGTGTTGTAGGGGAAGACCTGGCTACCTGGCCCTTCAAATGGAGCTTTTCAAGAGGCACACTTCAACCAAAGAGTTACAAGCTGCACCAGCAAACAACTCACTTTTTGTCAACAATATTTTATTGTCACAACAACTTCTAACATCTGGTTTGATGTATTCTGATGTCTATTGTTTGGTGTCATCTTTCTTAAGCATAAAGTTAAGGTAGACAAGTTATGCTTTTAAATACTTTTTCTCATTTAAATCATTTATTTTAGGTCTATGTAAAGTGGAACTGCAATGCTTCGGCCTGAATTCCTCCTTATTTTGACTTTATAAGCCCTTCTTTTACCACTTTTCTGAGGTGTGTCTCAGATCAACTCATTTTAATGCTGTTCCTTCAAATCCAAATGAGGCGCTTCATGCCCCGCCCCCCTTCAGCTTCCAGACCCGTTCAGTCTAGCTTGACAGAGGGGATAATATCCTTATAGCTGTGCAGAAGTTTTTCATTTACAAATGAATTAAAAGATGTCAACAAGGGAAGACTTGTCCATCCAGCCTTACATGTTGGAGCCAGAGTCTGACCCCGAGCCAGAGGAGAATGAAGACCACCAAATTGTAGTTGGTAAGGCCAGACCTTACTTAGAAGTCCTGTCACAAATATTGTGACGTAATAGTTCAGAAAATGCTAAAGAGAAAACTGAACGGGTTGAAAAAAATGACACAAACAGAATATAAAGATGTCTATGTGTCATGATTTGTGTTTTTGCTTTTCTGTTCCCCTGTGTTTTCCTTTCCCTGCTGTTTTGACTCCAGCTCCGCCCACACACACCTGATCCCTCTTGTGTCTCCCCAGGTGTTTCCGATTGTCTCTTAATTTGTTTGCTTTATATTCTGAGTCTTGTCATTCGTGTTTGTCCGTTCATTGTGCTGCATCCCCTCAGCCTGTGTGGTGTCTTCTTGTTTTCCAATCAGTAAGTTTTGAGCTGCAGCGCCAGCCTTTTTGTTATTTAACAAAGCCTTTTTGTTGCACTTTTGATTTTTGCCTGCGCCCTGGGTTTTTCCCTGCTGACACCTGATACTATGCAGCACAGAGAGAGACTAAATTCAAATTAGAACTAGTCAAGTACACAACTAAATGTATTTAACAGCAAAAAAAGTGGATTTTGGATATTTCTACTTTAAATGACATGTTGAAACTCTAAACACGTTCACATAAAAGGAAGCTGCTGTTCAGTTTTGTAGTGCCATACACCGCATGAATCAGTTCCTGATGGGATTTTAAGTGCAAACTTAAAATCTAATTTAGGAAATAATATTTAGCCTAAAATCGATTCAATGAAACTATCGTTCTTTGAAAGAATGCACATCTCCTGACACTCTGTGTATAAAAATTAAAAAACATTAACATAGTCAGTTAGCTCTGAGGATGTGATGGAATGACTCCAAACATTAGCCACTTATTTGCTAAGATTGATTAACCACGGCAGCTGTTCTGAATCTACTAATGTACACGTTATGATTACTTTATAAGAGTTGTATTTGAATCCATCCATCAGATCAGGAGGTATTTTGCTAACAGAGAGGCAAATACACACACAGGCAGTTGCATAAATGCCACACTGAAACAAGCTCTCCAAATTGTCTAAGCAGTAAAGTTACCGAGCTTGGTGATGCCAATCTCTTGCAGATCTTCGAGGCTGATGTCGGAGACAAAGTCAATGTTTTCGTACCCGTTCTGCACAAGAACCTGGTAATACTGACTGAGACCCAGGTGAGACAACCAGTCCGCCAGGTTGGCCTAAATTACACACATAAATAAAATAAAAACATGGACAATGATTTATGGATTCATACGAAACCGTGATTATCAAGACTTGACCAAATTTTCACGTCTCCCTTTGCTTTCTGTATTTGTCTCTAGCGGAGGCCTTACAGGTTTGTGGTCCAGSAGCCAGTCTGTGGAGTACAGTTTGCTGATTTCTGACAGCAGCTTCTTTCGATGCCCGGGCTTCATCACATTAATGGCTGTCAGGTCCTGAAACATAAAGAACACTTGGCTTAACCACGGCCACCGTTGCCAACATTTTATTTATTCATCATGCAAAACAATTTGATGCTAGTTGAACATGAATACATGGGCTGCATGTGATATGCCTTCAGGAACATTTAGCTGGGGATAATCTCTGATGAGTGTTCCCTGCCTTTCGGGTGGGTACGTGTCACACTGTAGTGTTTGCTCCAGCACACACACACACACACTGAACCCACACTAAAGAACAAACACGGAGTGACGCTAACAGAGTGGACGAGCCAATGTGTGAAAAAAATGTGTGCGAAAAACAGGGCAGAGAACAAGACTCGACTGGTTCAGACTCACACCAGGTGACGAGGGGTGAACAATTTGTGGGGTTCTGCTGGCTAACGGGGAGGGGTCAGAGGTGATGACCTTACCTCGGGAGTCATGCAGCCAATGGTGTCCAGATCATACCCAGAGGTGAGGAAGTGGGTGGTGTAGAACTGCAGCTGAAACTCCGCCAGCCACGCCACCACCGCCTGCTTCTGAAGAAACAGAAGACAGAACGTGACTCAAAAATGAACCGGTCATCATGTTTTAGAGAAATAAAACCCAACAATGGAAAAAACGTGACAGTTGAGGAGAGCTTTTAGTTCCGTTTCCAAACAAACTGGAATCCCGTTTTCTATATGGGGAATTTTCTCTTAGTTCAGGGCTACACAGCTCCAACAATCATCTTTAGAGAGATCAGGCACGGTGATAAGTTTGATGAAACCTAAGCATAGCATCTCACAACAATCATCAAGCATGGTGGTGGAGGAGGAGGTAGATGATTTCACTTTATTTCATATTTCAGCCGTAGAACCTGGGGACTATGCTGCCTCCGAGTCGACCCATGAACTGATTATCAAAGCATTTTTGTGTCAAATGTGAAGCCATCTGTCCGACAGCTGAAGCTTAATGGAAATTGGGTCATGCAGCAGAACAATGAACATAAGCAAAGCAGCAGCGTAGAACAGAATGACTGAAAAATAAATCATTTCCAAGTCCAGACTATAGGTTTAAATGTCACGAGTTGTTTATCAGAGGATGTGTTTACTTCATTTGAAAAACCAACAAGGACGTGCCTTATTTTTATCATCATACGCTGAAAAAAGGACAATGTTTTTATCATGACTGAAACACTAAACTAAATCCATCAAACACAGGCCTAACCCTGCAGTATAAATACTAAATTTAAATAAGTGAGCCAGAATGAATTTTACTGCATTTTGCTGAATTTTACACACATCCAAGTGAATATTTGTCACATTTGGCTGTTTCGGTTAAAAACTGAGCTCATGCAGAAAATCCAAGCATATACTAAATGTAGGAACTGCTAAACTACTACGGTGTTTTTAAAAAATAATTTCTAAACAAAAATGACTCTAGTTCATTATTTTTAGTCAAAGTCACAAGGGGCCACTTCAGAGGGTCTGAGGAGTCTTGCAGACCCCTGAYGTAAAAGGAGACAGGGACTGAAGAACTGACTCAGTCCAGCCTACATTAACACCTTAAGGATAATGGATAATTCTGCTACTTCACAAACCTCAATGTCGGCTGTTATAATCAGGAAAAAAACAACACATTTTCTAAAGAGTAATAATTAATTTTATAGCAACGGTGAGATCAATCTATTTTCTACTTTATATGTCAGTGAATTGGACAGCACTAAAGTTAAACAAGTTAAAAAAAATCAAATTCAATTTCTGTAAAGAGGCCCAGTTACAATATTGATTTTAAACTGCTGGCGAGCACTCGCTGTGGATGAGATCAACCAACGAGGATGCTCTACAACACAATTACTGATGCCTTTCTGAAAAGATGGCAGCTGCTGCCTGGGAACCAGTGAGTCCATAACAAAACATCTGCTTGGACGTAGAGCTCACGGAGGTTATTTAAGCCTCGGCTTCACAGAACGGCCCCGCCGGCAGAGCAGCTGCACGTGGGTGTCCACAAGGTAGTGTGATCGCAGGAGGCAGGACGACAGCTCCTCTGCGTGYCCGTCACTCCGCCTGTCCCCATGTCAACTACACTCGGACGCTCTGCAGCGGATGCGTTATCGTTCCACGTGCCGAGCTCCATCCCTATGAAACGTCTGAGAACAATCAGAAGCAGTCGCACTCACTTTCCCGTCATCCTCTTCTGCCTTCCGCTCAAACGACCGCTGCTCGTGAACCGTGCAGCTAGAGGAGCCTTAAAGATGAGAAAGAGAGAAGAGGCAAAAAAAGATGAGCAAAAACATATATTTTTAAAAGGTTTTATTTTCAAAAATGACATCTCATGAATGACAAGAATAAAACAACTTCCTGTCGTGTTCCAAAATCTTTCATAATACAGAGAAAGCATTCGTTACTAATGACCTGAAATTATATTTTTAAGAGTTGTTTTTGTTTGTTCATCACACCAGCTCCACTTTTGTCACTGTTAACACCGGTGGTGGGCACAGTTCCCCAAAAGCACTAAAGCACTAATAGGGGAACAAATTTTCTGATTAGTGCTTTAGGGCTTTTGCTAATTTATTTATTCATTAGTGGACTAGCACTTGCTAAATTTATAAGCACTAACTGAATTCTTTAAATGTTATTGATCAATGTTATTGTCAACAGCTGAGGGTGAAAGCCGTGGCCGTATGCGAGTCATTTATCCACTAGATCAGTGGTTGTCAAACTTTTTTGCTTCCGACTCACAAAATAACAGTTGCAGACACTCGGGACCTCATATATTATTTGCTTACGTAGCAAACTTTGCTAATAATTCTGTTAAACATGGGAATAATAACAAACCTATGATACTAATTTTTATTTATTTATGATTATTTCAAAAAAAATTAATAATCATGATGAAAAATATTTCATTAGCATTTTTTTTTTGCATTTAAATTAATGTCTGGAAATCTTCTGGGGACCCTCATAATGTTTTGTGACCCACAAAGAGGACACGACCCCTACTTTGGGAACCACTACACTAGATGAAATATTAACAATATTCTGCACACAGAAAATATTGTCTCATGTTGACTCTGAAGAATGTTCCATGGACCAGCTGGGTTTTTAGTGCTTTAGAATTAGCTTTTGCTCAATTTTTAAGTGTGTTAGTGCTTTAAAATTATGGGACCTAAATATTAAAGTTAGTGCTTTAGGGTTAGTGCAACTAATTTTAGATTAGTGCTGCCCACCACTGGTTAATACCTTTACCTCCTCAACAGGCCTATTTCAGGTGGACGTTTTGACATGAAACAGTAGGACAAGTATGGACATACTAATGAAGGCAGCAATCCAGTTAAATATAATTTTTATTTGTTATTTCACAGGAGCATAAGTGGAATGTAGCATTTGTTAATCCACACGAACTACTGTTTCAAGTCAAAATGATTGCTGTGAAATAAATCTCTTGTTCAGCCCAGCTGTGGTGTAACCCAGGGTGAATCTTAAGCCTCCTTTATCCTTTCTTTCTTCTAAACATCTCAGCCACCTTGCAAATCACACAAATTGATTGTTTTTGTTTGTTTGTGAGATTAAATCCTGAATAGTTCCCAAATGATATAATAGGTAATAAGTAGCAACTAAAGAATTTGTCTAAACTTGTAGAAAAAGGTTTTACAACTAGGGATGGGTATTTTTAACATCCTCACAATTCAATTATATTTCAGTACGATATTTATCTAAATGATTCAATGTTCATTTCATAACAAGAGGGAGTACACAAATAACTCATTGAAATCCCTGTGGATATTTTTTAGATATGTATTTTCTTGTCCATATAAAACAGAAATGGTTTACATTTACATTTTTTGAGAAACAAAATATCTGAAAAAAAGCAGAAGCACAATAATACTTGTACTAAATAAGGAGTGCAAACATAAAACATGACAAACTAGACAGGGGATTTAATCCATTCAGAGGACTTTCTGAATCAATATTKAATTGGAAAAAAGTATATTCCAATGTATTTACCCATTAGGGCTGCCACGATTAGTCAATTAGTCGACGACTAATCGATTATTAAAATAATTGATGACTAATTTAGTAATAGATTAACCGTTGTCTTTTTGTTCTTTACTTTGTTTTTCTCTCCAAACTGCTTTGACACCTTCCACTGCCACATCTGCCTTTCTGTCCTTGACACACATGCACAGTAGTGGTAACTGGGGTAGGCCGTGGACGTCACAAGACATTATACAGACAGGGTCTGGTATCATGGCTACCCAGCAATGGAGCACAAAGTGTGGGATCATTTTAAGAAAATGAAAGAGAAACCTGTGTAATATCTGCAGAGCAGAACTTGCCTTCCACAGCAATTATTTTTAGTTAGCATATAGCTAAAATCTAACCATGGTTATATAATAGCAGCTACACTCTGGTGCAATAAGCTTTATGTTTCAATTAATGTATGATCCGATTAGTTGACTAATCGAAAAAAATAATCGGTGATTAATCGATTATAAAAATAATCATTTGTGGCAGCCCTATTCCCCACCCCTAATTACAACATCCAGTAGAAATAATTGCACTGTATGCTGAGTAACTCTTATGTTCAGACTTTATCCCATCACAATGAAACAGCTGCAGTAGTCGATCTTTTTACTTAAGCAGCTGCTGTGACGGCAAATCTTTGTCAATCCAGTTAAACCCTGAATAACAAACTTGCGAAAACAAAAAGAGGATCTAAGCAGTGTGTTAAAGTTGCTTTTATTAATAAAGAATTACAGTACAGTAAAAAAGGGGATTGTATTGGCGTCTGATATGAACAGACAGGTGGTCTTTAGAGGGCCAGGCTGGCTAAATGTGAGATGAAAAAAAAGATGTAAACAAGCCCAGAGGGAATTGCTCTGCTTGTGAACACAGCCTTGATCACTTCAAATTGTCATCACTTTAGTACAAACAAGATTTTCTATTTTATTTGGGACTGAATGGAAGACGGCGCTCCTTGGTTTTACCAATGCAGACAACTGTTTAAATACCTAAACAAACCCCCTTTTAAATGAAAGCTATTGTCTTGGGACGAACGGATGTGATGAATGTTTGCTTACTTGCTGACTGCTCCACAGACTGCGACTGCTCCAAGAGATGCTCCTTGGCTTTTACTGACTGAGACAGCACAGTGGCCAGGAGCTAAAACACACACACACACATGCACGCACGCACGCACGCACACACACACACACACACACACACATCATAAACATTTGCTAAAGCATATACTCAGGTCCCAGAGGTGGATTGTGACTCAACGTACAGTACATCGCTACTCGTTCTGCAGTTTCCTGCTACACCAGAAATACAATACTTGTGTTTTATCAGCATATAAATGAGAATTTAATCATGTTTGCAGACAGAAAAATTAGAGTGTTATGTCTTTGTTGCAACAATGCTTCTTGGCAGTAAATGTTATACAGTTTGAAAGCCGGATTTGTTTTTAAACGGTGTCACACGTCAGCAGAGTTAAGTGACAATCTTGCCAAACATGGATTTCCTTGCTTCTTGCACATAGTGTATAAATATATTCTTTATAACAATCAATCAAAATACATTTTAAAGTACTTGAAGATGTTATAGTGCAGGTATGCTGGGTGCATATATAATCCTTTAGACTTGACAGCTCTGTGCAGAATTAAATGCACACCTCCGCACCTGTCTGTAATGTAATTCCATTTATTGCACTTTTACATTCAGACTTAGTGTGGCATATTTAAACCAGGCAGGAAGCTAAAGTTAACAAGGATCACACATAATCAAAACTACATATAGCAGGGCTATTCAACTGGCGGCCCGCGGGCCGGAGTGACCAAAGTTCGGCCCGCCAATTGGTTCATTCATCTCTTAAGCCCAAACCCCCGGATTTCTACTTTAATTACTCTAAATTCTTTTAATTAAAGGCACAGTGTGTAGGATTTGTTGTTTTCAGCGACATCTAGTGGTTGAGTGGTTGAATCATCCTCCCTGGTCCTCCCCCC